AAATATCTTAAAAAAATTAAACCTTCCAATCTTACGTGGAGAGACCCAGAAGCAAGTCAAGTAATTAGTAGTGATTCAAAAATTATACGGCGCTTATCTGAGGAGGCGGAAGATGAATATAACCATTATATGGAGCCAGTAAAACGTATGGAGGGAACAACTCCTCTTCGTATCAAAGATGTATGTAATGGGTTTGTGATGAGTTATAATAATACCATGTATGAGGAGGTGCCTATTGAGCTTTCACATGGAAATTGGGATGAATCGGAAGAAGATGTTGTAAGAATTGCATCTGGAATTCTCGATACAATGTTAGTATAATACGTTTTTATTTTGGCATCACTTTATGCTAACTCTGCTAAAAAATTATTTCTGTTATCGAAACTAGAGGAAGTATTTGGAGAAATCCAGCGTTTGGGGAGAAGTTTGCGAAATCTCAAAACGAAGGGACATATGTAACGGATATTATAGTTCCTGCAGTGAAAGCTTCATTAGAAAACCTACCAATAAAGAGCTTCGCCTTCGTTAGCACGTAAGTATGATATTATTTACTTTTTTTCGAGTAACCGGCATTTATTTACTTTACTTATGTAGAGCGGAACGACAAAGTATAGCAAGTAAAGATCGAAGGGGAAAGACTGGCAAGCGCCCCGATATTATGTTCATGGTAAAGCGTGGGAGAAAAATCTATGAATTAATGTTTGTCGAATGTTCTCGTCTTTTTTGTGATAAAGATAAGGAAGAAAATGATTGGGTGAAGTTATGGAGAGAAATGAATGATGGCATGTATTGGGTGCACAAAAGTTGTAAACCAAAAAAAGACGAGTTCGGAATTGTTGGGATACAAGTTGCCGGACAAAAGTTTCACCTGTACGTTCTCATTCGGGATAGAGATGGAGTAGATAAACTTTTTAGACTACGTTCGGTGGATATCCCGGTACAATTCACAGATAGAGATACTGTATATAATTTTGTGGAGACGCTGTTGCTATTACGGGTATGGATCTAGTTATTTATGCGTGCTCTCTATATAATAGAGTATACCTAACTTTCTCTTTTTATAGAAAATCCTAATCGTTAACCTATCTTTATTATTAAATGCGGATCGTGGTTTACACGGAGATAAAGAAGATAGTTCAACAGTATCATCTCCCCCATATGACGATTAGATTTTCATTATATTATAAACTGGCTCTGGTGGCTGAATTTCACGGTCACTGGAAATGTCTTATGATCACATCACCAAAATTACTAGCCATGTTAACAACGGGTTTTATCGTTATAGGTTTTTATATGTGAAGCAAAAAGTTTATAATGTGAACTTGATTATAATTAGTTATAACGAGAATTCGTCTGTAGAAAACTTAAAATACAAAATTATCACTTAAAAACAAAAAACACGAAAAATATTAGCGCAACTAGCTGAAAATAGAAAATAATAGAAGAAACAAAGATTACGAGTGCTTTCATCGCCAAAAAATGTATATACGAACTTAAAAGCGAATGTATTGATATAAAGTGAATTCATCGAAAAAACAAAAAGATGGTTTATTTGCACGAATATTCAAAGTGTCAACCACCACGCAAAATATGAATAAAAAGAAAACGCATAATACTATTCTAAATACTATTATTCTCCAATCATCACTACGAGTATACAAGAAAATTTGCATAATAGGCAAATATCGATATAAAAGAGACCAGATGTATTTTATTTGTTAAAAATATATGAGTATAATAAACAAGAACATTTTAAGATCAAATACGCATATACATAATTTTTAAATTTTTTCATAATAATTCCAATAATACTAAATATAATAATAATAATTAGAATATAAAGTGTGGTAATGTGCATAGTTTCATGGATTTTTCGGTCTCTTTTTCAAGACGAATACGACGCGACGAGTCATTATGGAAAATGATATTTATAGTAGAAAACTACTAGATTCTCTCGGAATATTTTGTATTATCGTTGTTATTTGTTAATAGTGACCTATCGCTATTAGGCTATAATCGAAAATCGAAAATCTAGACAATGTGTTTTTTTTTATAATTTTTCAAAAGCGTAATTGGGAAAAAAAGAATATTTGAAAAGTGAGAATATAGCAGTTTTCTAATATTACGAATATAACAATGATTAATAACAATGGTTGTCGACTATAACGTAAAGTCTATAAGTTATAAAAAAACCAAAGATAAGCTTAGATAATATAATATATAAAGATAGGATTATGATGTAAGATGGATGGAAAAAAAGGAAAAAGCTTAAACTGGCCGGCATAATTGATGTAAAATAAAAAACATTATAAAATAGTCGAATATTTGAGAACAACAAAGAGAAATAATAAGGAAAGAAAAAAGGAAAAAAAAACATCATTTTTTTGTTTGTTCGTTTCTTCGGGTAGTTTTCATCTATCAGAACTTTTTATAAAAAACCGGTGATTCATTGTCTTTAAGGAAACAAATAGAAAAAGAAATACAGGAAATAATAAGATAAAGTGGTAATAATGTTTGATGGATGAGAATCGAAGATTTTGAAATTTTTTGGATATTGGCATTTCATCACCTAAATCATGTAATATTGATTTTGTATTAGATTGTTTGGTGAATTATAGATCATTAGATTGGCGGCGTTGTTTTGCTGTGGATCCATTTTCAGTGTTGCAACGCCGATGTTTCCACCAATAGCAGATAATTGTGGTGCATTTATCGTTGTTGGACTATTATTTGATGATGAGGTGGAATTAGATGTTGGACTGGATGAAGAATAAGTCGGACTATGTGTAAATTTATTATGATGTACGTGAAATGCGCATCCATCATCATCATCATTATTATCAGTATCATCGTTATCATTAACATCATCAATTATTCCTACATCTTGTTGCTGTTGCTGTTGTCCAAAGATATTAATTTGTGACATGTCTAATGGTGGAGGAATTTGTTGTTGACGTAGTTCACCATCTCCAGATTGAACTAGGGAGCCGGCAGATATGCCCATTGTAGGTGTAGTTGGTGTAGAATTTGGTGGACTTATCATTGTCACTGAACTACCACAGTCATCACTTGTTCCATTTGCGGTTGTTGCCGCAGCGCTTGCGTCGCGTTCAAGTTTCGCTTGCTTATTTTTTATTTGTACCCATCGAGTTCGGCATTGTCTCTGTATAATTAGGATTTAAAGATTAAATCGGTGTGATTTGAATAAAATATTTAGTATCTTAACTAAATATAGATGATGACGAATTACCTGAGTTCGTCCATCAATCATTTCTGCGATTCGAATCCAACATCTTCCGAATCTTCGTACTCCTTCTTTCAATATTTCATCCTCCTCAGGCGACCATTTCCCTTTTCGAACACGCGGATCCAGTGCTTCGGACCATCGTGCTTGACATTGGATTCCCGTTCGATGAGGAATACGAGCGGCAATTTTATTCCAGGGAATTGGCTGTGGATTCCCATCCGAATCAGTTAAATCAACGTATTCTGAAACAGCATCTTTTAATGCTGCATCCTCTTCCGGGGTCCAACGGCCCTTATGTATTGTGGGATTTAATGCTCCCAACCATCTGGTCGAGCATTGCATTGGTGTACGATTCGGTACATGCGCGGCTATTAAAGACCATTTATGAGGTCCGTAAATGCTGATTGCAGCTCGTAGTAACTGATCTTCATCCTCGGTCCATTTTGTATAGACTGGTGGTTTTTGATTGATTAGACTTGGCGAGGAAGGGCGTGAAGAATTCGAGGTAGGCGTTGGAGGTTGTTCATACTGGCCGTCAGAGTATACTTGTTGCTATTGTAGAACGACATTTCAATTAGTACTTTCCATCTGTAAAAAAGTGTCTAAGCTTCTATAGGTTTCTATAATAGGACATGTTATGCATGCATTGTAATAAGACGGCATATTCAATACGCCGAGAAAACTAACATGCAATAGTTACGAAGAAATTGGATATAATCGACAAAATGAGAAAAAAAGAGTAGAATGCAGGTATATGTATGTTGTTGCGGAATTCATTCATAGAAGTGGTTCTAGACACTCGTTTTTGCATGCACATTCCTTTCAGAGAGAAGAATAAAGAAATAGGGGTAGAGAGGATAAAACGTCAAGGAAAAAACAAGAAAAAGGCTTACATCGAAAGAATAATCATATTGCATAGAAATTTCGTCACCGAACCTTAACGGCTGAGTTTGTGGATACGTCGAAACCTGTAATGGCGTTTGAAGTGCATCCAAAGTGACGATATTCGGACTAGGATATGGACTTTGTAGAATAGAACCGTAAACTTGGGTAAGGGAGTTAATATTAATGGTTTCTCGACTATGATATCCATTGTCGCATTGCTTGATTTGTGTAAAAAGAAATATATGTCAAGTAAATTAATTATAACCAAAAAGATCGTGAGAATACGAAAAAGTGTCTCACCTGCCAGTCACCTTGATCGAGTTGTGGCTGCTGTGGGTTCGGAAACAATGACAATATTTGGTTAGACAATTAATGAATTATTAAGGCAGGAATGCAATACTCTGTGGAACATGAATGTATGTATGCATGAGGGTATAACCGTATAGATTTTTGTTATCGAGATTAACATTAAAACTTACCATGTTTGACTTATGCGCATTTCGTGCGACGGTAACTACCTGAGAGTTGACATCTGAAAGCTTTTTTTCAATAATATAATAAATTAATAAATTATGAAAAGTTAATGATGTAATGACGAACACATAACAATGGAACTTACCATTTTCTGCGAATAATCTGTTTGTTTCTGAAACTCTTGTTGGGGCATCTAATTGATTGAAATTAACATCGATCGAATAAATCGAATTTTAATTCTAATTTTAATTTCTTGTTTTTCATCTTACCTGATATCGTAAAGCTAAATTACTGTCGTTAACCGCGTCACGATAGTACTATATAATGGAAGGGTGAGAAAAAAAGGAGATATATATAAAGGTAATGATCATCATGAAGAAATACATGCATTTGATTGGGTGGTACATAATGGGATATGTAAAAAAAAAAATAAGAAATAATAGAGAAAAACATGACTTACGTGATAATATTGAGTGATATTGTTGCCGCTGCTGCTATTATTATTATTATTATTACTATTACTATTACTATTATTGTCATAAAGTAATTGATAGGGTAAATTGATCATTGAATTATTGTTCTCGTGATTATGATATTGTTGATTATTATTATGACCATTATTATGATTCATTTCTGATATTGTATTTGTGGCAGAGTTAAGCTGATTATTCTGTTGGAACAATAATTCAGTTGCTGGTTCACTCGAAATATTATTACTAATATTATTACTAATAATATTATTATTACTCTTATTCTTGGTATTATTATTACTATTATTATTATTATTATTATTATTATTATTATTATTATTATTACGATTATTATTCTTATTATCAGTAATAGACGTCGTGGTGCTGGCAGTAATGTTAGAATCCCCACAAAAGTTATTGTTGATCAAAGGTGTGGATGTATTAATTAAAGAAGATGGATGTTGTGATGGAGTAGTGGGGGTTAAAGGAAGATTCGTTGTATTGGTGGTAGTGTTGGTAAAGTTGTTGGAATATGAAGCAACAGCCGCGTGATCTAAGAATCTATTGTCTAAAAAAGATAACAAACAAACAAACAAAACAAACAAACAACAAACAAACGGACGGACGGACAAACAGACAAACAGATGGACAGACAGACAGACAAACAATAAACAGGCAGACAGACAAATATAAACAAATATACAAATATCGTTTTAGTTATCGACCAAAAATAAAGTTTATTGGAGAAATATAAATTCAGAAAATTACCTTGAAATGCGTTGTTATAATTGTTTATGTTGTTATAATTGGGATTATAATAATTTGAATGAATCGCGGACATGGTCAAAAAGAAGGAAAGAAAGGAAAAAAGGGGAAGAGAATGTAAAGATGATGCGAATTTATAAAGAATGGAGCAATTATTAAAATATAATGAACAAAAGGACTAAAAAACTGTCGCGCGTCAGACAAATTATAAAAATAATGTGATTGATTGATTGATGTTGATTGATCTTCTGAACGATAATTATTGATGATGGATCACGATATTAGTGTAATCTCGAGAAAGTGAGGGGAAAATCCACTGATCAAAAAAGGGGCTTTTTACTTTCTGTAAAAATAAATAAGGGGCGGTTATTTTCACACTTTGAATTTGAAATAGGAGTGAAATTATTTTGTTATATTGATTGATTGATGATTGGATGATGTCGTGTGGTTGATTGATTAATTGTTTCGTTTTTCGTGTTATAATGATCTTGTGCGAATGGATCTTATATATGAATGTATATAATTATACACGTAATTTCGTAACGAACGTCTTTTTTATTTAATCAGTAAATCAAATAAATGTCGTCATCAATCGAATGTGTAAATAATGGAGAAAGGGAATAGGAATAATTAATTGCGAGACAACGAATCGGATCGGACAAATGTTTTTAACAATTCTGCATAACTACAAGAGAACTGGAATTTCATTTATTGATTATTATAAAGAATTGTTTTTGTTAATTTATATGTTTGCTTATTGTTAATGATGAGAAGGAGGAAGAGGGTAGGGATGAAATGATAATAGAGAATAGGAGAAGAAAGGAGTAAAGAGAAAGACGAAAACGTGAGTAAATTTAATAATTAGTCGACGACACGATTAATGAGTAATAAAAAAGACACGTTAGAATTAATTATTATTGGTAATAATTAATAAAGAAATTCCGAGTAAAATCCGTATAAGAATTGGGAAAATTGATAATTTATATATTTATAAATATGTACTTAGAAATATATAAATAATCTATACATACATGTATATATATATATATGTGTGTGTGTGTGTGTGCGCGCGTGTGTGTGTCGGCGAAATAGGTGCTGTAAAATAATATGACGTTGATGATGACACGACAACACAATAATGTAATTTTTAGTTTGTCAGTAGCGTATTTATTGAGAAGGAAGATTTGCGAAAAAGGTTGAAAAACGTACACAACCAAGCGCAGGATCATAAACCAATTTGTCAAAGAGCGAAGCGGGGTATTTTATTAGTTTGATATTCTTGATGATAGTGGTGGTGTTGTTGTAGACGAATGAATATACTGTCAGTGATGCTGATACGTCCACTAGAAAAAAATTAGCTTCTTTTTTTATATTTATTGTTTGATTTTATTATAAAAAATATATTGCAAACTACAGTATGAATAGTATAAATTATCGTTAAATAAAAAATTTCATCAGACCAAATTTAGCAATCAAACTTCTTATTACATAGAGATTTCGCAAAAAAATCTTGATTTTATATTGTTTTAGATTACTACAGCATACTGTGACACCACGACATTGTATGATGTGCTTTGACTTTTTTGACTGGTGGACTAGCCGCGTGTTGCATTGATATTTCATTTTGTACCAGAAGGGGATGTTTGGTGGTGGATAACGACAAAAAAGCCAGAGATAGAACATATGTAAGGTATACGAGAAAACGAAAAGATTTTTTTTTTGTTTGTCAATGAATAGGATAATCATAGAATAATCATAGAATAATCGAGTAGAATAATCATTTACAAACAAACCCCATACTTTTTTTTTCGTCATCTCTTTTTTAGTATTATCGTTATATATTATATCTTACATTTTATATTTTATATCAAATCTTATTTTTATTATTCATTATGTATTATGTATTATATATTATTATATTATATATGGAAACTTTATTTTAAGAAAACAAAACAAACCTATTTATTATCTGTTGTTTCTATTTGTGTATAGAATATATAGAAATTTTATCGAGTATGCGATAGAAACTTTTATCAATTAAAGTTAGATACAAGAAAATTATTCCATTCCCTGTAAAAAAAAACCTGACGTGTGTTTATCCAACATTTTGAAATTTATATTCTAGATTTGCGATTTATTCTCCGGATCTATGGAATTTAGAAAATACCGGCGATTTTCTCGTTTAAAAAAGTATATTTATAACGCTCAAATGATTAACTAGCTGTCATAATTAATTTTTCTAAGGGGAGAAATGAATCTCTGCAAAAACGATGATGACGAAGACGACATTATGTTCAATTCACAAAACTTGCCTAATCGTGCGTGTGGTTTGGCAATACACATTATATTCAAAACAGCTGATTTTGAATGTGAAGTAGATCGATCAATATTCGCGTATTTTAATAAAAAGCCATAGTATGGCTTCTTTCACAGGTTATCGTGATTTATGATGATATATGCTTTGTTAACCGTTATCGAAGACACTTCTTACTCATCTCTTCCCATCTTTTTTACAAACACACCCCTTCTCACTAATTTTGTCTCTTTCTCTCTATTGTTAACAAAGAGATGATGTGCATGCAGCAGCGGGCGGTTAATCATGATGATGAAATTCAATGAAAATGAATAATGGTGTTTTCACCTCTCTTTACATATAACAAATAAAAATTTAGTTAGGCAGGAAGGGAATAGAGAAAATTTATGATTGATCCGTCTGTAACGTATACGTATATATAATTGCAGAATACAGCGTCATATGCAACAATTACCGTTGAACAAAAAAGAAAGGATCTGTGATGAAGGAAGCTGAAAATTGTTTCATGATTTCTATGTTTCCATACACATTTCACAAGGGCAAAAAAAATTGCGTAACCTCATTCAACGTAAGCGGATAAAAATACCATCATCAACTTCGATTACGAGTTCGGTCAAAATCCATTCAGTTACGCGAATTCTTCATATTTACATCGATACAATATTAAAAAGTGGTTAGTGAATGTCCCACGTAAAAAAATTCATTATCTAAATCTGAATAATCCGATATTTTACAATAGAAGATGACATCATTTTACTTTTTGATAACAAACACGTATCTAGAAAGAAAACGACAAATTCAGCAAATCGTCAGCAAGCACAAACATTGTGTTTAATATTGCATGCAGCCCGTGCATGAATAATGAGTGAAAAATATGGACGCCAAACAATAATGATATCTTTTTTACTGTTGTAATTATCACAAGGAAAACGACATTGTGCTACTATGGACATTTCGGAAATTTGTAATATTTTTTCTGTGCTTTCGTGTAGCACACATGAGAAGGATGCATAGATGGCGTATATACATTTTATTTTCGCCTTCATTCTCTTTTTTTTAGCAATGATTATCTGATAAGTGAATTGAAATTATTTCTCACATTGATCGATTTTAAAAAAATAATGAACCTGTTTGTGTGCATATTCCATGCGTTTTTCGTTTTGCGCGAAATAAATATACACCTAGATAATGTATCTGGCGAAGTAATGATGTGAATTGTCAAATGCAAAGCTATTTTCTTCTCACTTCATCCAACCAATACCATTTATATTAGATAAGAAAATAAATTTAGCAATTTATACTTGGATGACCCCGATCCAGAGAATATATATACATCGTTGTACATGTACGACTTAAGCGCGTGCATCGTCAATTTAGTTATCACCGAGATAAAGATACCACAGAAGATACACAGTGAGAAAGGCCAAGAAAGAAAGTGATTTTATTTAAACCTTGTTATTTTAATAGTATATGTTTACACTGTATATATATTATATTGATATTGTGTGTTTGCCGCCAGATTGAATAATGCAATCTTCAAAAAAAAAAAAATTAAACTTTAACTTTGATTTATGTTCAGTATTTGAATAAATAACAAACAAACATCCAAATATGAGCAATAATGATAAATAAAGTGGCGGGAAACAGAATGCTAATTTTTTATTTTGCATAATCAAAACGGCAAACCCCATCCGTGTTTTTGCACACTCAAAAAAGAGATCAAAGCTCTGATAACATTTGGTGTCATGTGTGGGAAAAGGAGGCATTGTTTTTTATGCACGAACAAAATTTGACAACCCATTTTATTTTTTTTTTTTGCGCACGGTTCCGATCATTATTTTATCTTTCTTCACATTATGGCTTGTGGTATTTCGATATGAAAACAGAAACTGTTCTTTATTCTTTTTTGCAATCAATGTATTATCTACTATGGTAATCGAGGTCATTACGTAAAGTATTGAAGTATTGGTCCAGAGTTAAATTATTTTTTTTATTTATTGGAGCCTAACAATAATAACATTAGTGACAATAACGATAAAAACAACAGTCGCAATAAAACTAGACAAAAAATCTATCACTCTGTTTCTTCTTTGATTCTGTTTATTTAGTTCAGGAGAATGAGTGAGACTTTTTCGTGAGACTTTTCTTGCGAGATTTGTGAAAACAATATTGAATGAATTTAACTTTATAAGTTAATTAGCCAAATATTGGTACAACACGCAATTGACTTCATCATGCAGGCAAACTAAAACGAAGGGTTTATTGAAGCAAGGGTTTTGGTAACTTCCGAATCTGATTATACGTTTTCGGAGAAGTCATTGTGAGGATGATTTGATGCTAGATTTCATTTATTTCGTTGTCTTTTGTTTGGTATTTTAGGTTAAGATACTTTTATCTAACGCTAAACTTCTATAAATTCTAAATAAACGCACGTGTAACCTAAAGATTTATTATTTGCCAGATACCTAATAATCTAATATTAGAATTATATTTTAATCCTTTATTGAGAGCGACATTTTTGCTCCTAGTTACATGTAAAGTAGCCATAAATACAACAAAGTGGTTAAAAATGTAAAAGAAAAAAAAATGGCACACTGCAATTGCTATACACGTACAGGCGCATACATAGTCTGCTCAATACCACATTCACATTTATATCCATCTGAAACCGCAGAAGTCTATTGACCGATTTCAGAATCTTCTAAGATGCGCAAAAAAGAGTGCACAATGACTTTCTTCAAAATCCTTATTTCAGATTCTCCGTTTCGAAATTTTTATGATGAACAAGTATCATCAACAATACCGAAAATAGTCGTTTTGTTTGGTTTTATGAAACGTCCCTTGTTGATGGTTTCAAGGTGAAGTCGCATATTCGGCGTCAAGAAACCAATCTACAAAGATAGCATACAAAAAGAGAAGGAAGAGAATAGCAATATGGTTTTTTTTGGAGTAGATTCTGACTAAAGGCCGCATAATAAATGGATGCTGAAAGAAGTAAATTGCGACGTATTTCTTACGTAGTTAACCAAAAGAGACTAAAACTACAGCCGATCCGAATTATGTTCCTGAGAATAACAAAGAAAAGATAACGAATCTGGAAACGATAAAAACGCTCTTGCATCAATGAGAATCGATTCTTGTGTTCTCTTCCTTAGCGTTAGATTAATTATTCAAAATCTATTTTGTTTAGTTGAATCGAATTTGATGTATGCGTGTATACTTTTAAATACACATTTCGATGTATATTTTAATGGGAAATCTTATTTTAAATTCTCTGACTTGAACTGTTATTAAACAACAGGTTCCTGTTCATTAACTCGTAAAAAACAAACGCCACTTTACCTAATAAACAAACAATGGTTTTTAATTCGAAACAAATATTACCAAAATATTATATCATATTACTTAAAATTAAATGAATCAATAATTAAAAAGTCTCCGAGAGGCTACTCCCAAAAAACTCGACATATATATATGTATATTAACGCTGTATAACAAGAACACAAAAAAAACGTGCTTTTTATTTTTCCGTCTCGGACTTCATTGACAAAAAGTGTGAAAGCTGAACAACTCAAGGGGAGAAATTCCCGCGAGCATTGCAAATGCATTAATGAAAAACTTTAGTGATCACACAAAAGCTAATATGGGCCGAATGCAGTAAAAAGGGGGAAAATCGACATCTGACGAAAAAAAATTTTTGTAAAATAAACTCGGGAACATCTTGGCATAGGAAAATCTAAAATTTTGCGTTATTATTGAAGTATTATAAAAATCGACTTCGTTCGGATAACATTTAAACTTGTCAATAGATTGTATTTTATGAATTCAATAAACTTCTTGACCAAGTAAATACAAGATTTAGGATTGTCAAGAAGTTTGTTGAATTCATAAAATACAAGATGCCTCTTCCAATATCTAAATCAGATCGATCAATATCGATATTGGTTTTTCTTCCATATTTATCAAGGTAAAAGATTACTCTGAATTGAATAAAATTACCCGATTCTATTATATGCAAACTGCAATTAAATTTCGTTAAATTTGAATCAATGCTTATAAAAAAACGCGTAATATCATAGCAAGTGTTTTAATATGCTAAAGCATCACGAATTTTGCCGATAAAAGCATCGGATATAAATGCATATATTCCTTTTTATACTAAATAACTTAGAAAATTTATTATTTGAATTCATTGCTCATAGTATAAAGGCCTAAATAAAATTAAGAATATCCAAAGCCTTCTTGGCTTAATAAAGTTAGGTTGTCATTTTGATGGTTCCAAAAATCAGAAATGCAAGCATTTTTGTTTATACTCAAATTTAATAAACAATATATTTCTGAATTTTCAGAAAAATGCATTTGCCTTTTACAAAATGGCTTTGACAGGCTCTCCATTTCCCAATCCAAGTATCTAATTTTTATGGATATCAACGCCCACGTGTTTAATGCGAGATTTGCGAAAATTCCTCAAACGGAGACGCGAACATTGTTCACGCGAAAATTTTACTAACCGAGGAGTTATGGTTCTTTAGTTTTTTTATTTTTACATGATACCATAGTTAAAAATATAATAAGTTTCGTTTATTGCGATTTCGAAATTAACTAAATTTTAGTTACATTTAATTTTATAAGATTTGGTAAAAATAGATGCACATCCAAGAATAATGTGTTCGTTTTGCAGCATTAAAAGCCTCGTCTGCAATCACCAATATATGGTGTATTTGAAGGACGACTTGCTCTTGATGCTGTGCTACAACTGAGGCGACGCCAGGATTTGGATTTGTTTGAAAGAGGAACGTTACAAGAGGATGAATAATTACCACAAACTCGGTGTTTAACGCATTATCACGATCATCAGTTCTGTTGAATGCTACCTGTAATATTCAATAATTTAGTAACACCTTTTCAGAAGGAACTTAATACATTACTTCAATCCATAATAAAGGAATGAATGATCTTTGTTGGCGCATTGGCCATTCTCCCACGTCAGATCGAAATTCCTTATCATTGACTACATCACATTGGTTTGAAATTGTTGATCAAGCAGGTTTTTTAATGTCTCGTGTAATTCTGCCTTTACTCCACCGTCAAACTGAATCATACAAGAAATCAGATAAAGGTCATATAATTGTAAACCAAAAATGGTACTACTTTGATGAACAGTTTATTATCAATTCTTTCGGCTTGGAAAACGGTATGAATAGCTTCAAGTAGTGATTCGGGCTAAATTATTTAGCATTATAAATTTTTTAATTTTTTTATAGATTTAGTCTTTTAAGTCCTAATTTTCTAACTTGTCCTAAAATATTTAGCCCGAATCACTAGACTTCAAGCAGCAAAAGTACCTGGAGAAACTGAGATGCGAAATATGGCAAATAATAATAAGATTTCTACCTTATGGATTTTTCCTTCTATCTGACCCTGATATTTTCAAGCATTATCAAAAGGAATTCAAAAGAAATATTGCAGCTTGTTTAACCAATTCTTCAAGATATATATGAATAGGATGTAGAAAAATCATCTTCATATCAAGGATAATCTATAAATAAAGCGTCACATTTGAGAAATTTTGCACAAATCTCTATATTTCTCACTTTCAAAAAAGTAAAATTGAATGACTATAGAAAAATATTTAAAAAGTATATTTTAATTACAGTCACTTAATAGTTAGAAAAGTCAAATTGGATAATTATAAAAAGATATAACTATAAATAAGTATGGCTATAAAGAGATTTAGCTGTATTTACTTTTGTGCTTGTATAATATCTAAGAAAACTTTCAATTGGATATTTATTAAATATATTTAAGTAATTCTTTAGAGTAGAATTAAATTTTTTTATAATTATTATTCTCAAAAAAGCAAATTGAATAATTATAGAGAGAATTGATTATAAAGTGATTTTTTTATTATATATAAATGGAAAAGCAAAATAAGGTAACTATAAAGAGATAGATATAATTATAAAGAGATTTGACTAGATTTATTATAGAATGTTTATCAGTTCCCAATAAAAAATATTTGAAAGAAATACAAGCAAATTTATTATAATTTTGATGGTTAAATCTTTTTATGGCACTTTATAATCAATGTATTCATTAAGATAATTGCTTCAAAATAAAATTATATATAGTTAATTCTTTTTATAATCACATTATCAGGTCTAATAATAATTTTTTCATAAATGTGTTTATAATGGGATTTTATAATAAATGTGTTTATAGTAAAATGCTTTTATTATAAATAATACTTGAAAAAAGAATGAATATAATGGAATTTTTATATAATGTGATTATAAAAAGGTGACTATAAAGAGACTTGACTATATATGTTAAAAGTTGCTAATACTAAGTTATCAAGGAAGTCAAAAAATGGTTTATATTCAGTAAATCAAAAAGCAAATCAACTTCACCTTTATAAATACATAACTTCAGGCATGCAATTTCAGAACTTTGACAGCTTCATCGTAGACCACAAAAATAATCAGACATTTTAGGTAAGATTCTTTAAAAAGCAACACAGACTCATCAAACTTTGACAGATCCGAAACTTCGTAGATTGATCACAAATTTGCGGCGAGATTAATTTTTCTCCGTCTATGGAAAAATTAACAATCAAACTTGAGGTACTTTAGATTTTTGCCATTAAGATAACTTGAAAAAATCGATTGGAATATATCCTAAATTCACAAGAATTTTTAAATGACATCTCACCCTGTAAAAAGCAAGCACGTACGATCCACGGACATTGCAAGTAGATAGCTTGGCATGGCACGAGAAACGCGACAAATGCTGTATACATAAACACGTTTTTTGATATGGCTCTTTTGGCACGGAACCACACGCATAAGCACGGACTGTTAAAAATCATGCCCGAAACGTGTTTATGTATATGGAATTTGTCGCGTTTCCGGTGCTTGTACGTACTATGCCGAGTCACTTCGTATCATTCTTTGTAATTTCCGTGGTTTTAGATGCTTGCCTTTTTTTTTATAGGGACAGAATTTAGAAATACGTAGCTGTGCTATTCTCTAAGTTTGTGTATAGGGATTATACAGGCTCGATTAGCGTAAAAAAAACTATAAAGTTCGAGATATGAAATACCAATGTACAATTCAATAGCGAAATCGATGTTGCATATGTTCTTGGACGAATTTCATTTAATAGCATCCAGCAAATTTATGGTAAATAAAATTCCAAGAATTCTTGTAAATGCATGTATGATACCCACTAGAGGATTTAAACCTTAATTTAGTCAAACTTTTTTTAGTAAATCTTCGCAAAATGAATAATTCAAAATTTATAGTGCAATTTCTTATCGTTATTACTAAAGGACTTGAGGTTAAATTAAGTGGCAACAATTCCTGAATAACAAAGAATTTCGAGTAAATCTTTAACATCGATTCAGAAATTTTAATCGGTTTTTTTTTCAAAAGTTTAAATAAAGCGTTCACAAAAAATAAACTTTATAATGTCACTTATAAGTCGATATTCTTTAGAAACAATCATCAAAAGAAGTACTCTGCGACAATCATTCTTTTATGATTTCTTTATCCTGATATTTAAAGTTGAATTGAAATCATTTATTCTAAATATTGGACAATAAAGTTTCAATTTTTTCATTAGCCAATCGAACAAACTCAAAATATTACGTGTATATTCTAGGAGATTTTGGTATTTTTGTAAATTACTTTGAGTTTATGCTGATAATTTGAGTAAATTTCCATATAAACATAAAATTTATTCAAACTGAAATTATTGTAAAAACGGACGAAAATAGACTTTAGGCAGAATGTCGATAATTTTGCAAAAAAATCTATTGATATAATTAAAATCATAAATTTATGTACTATCTGAAATGGTAAAGTGATCTCAGTTTGTTAACTTTATTGCAAGACTTTGTATTATTTAGTCTTTTAGTTAGGACTGTTAAATTCTATGTTAGTATGGAAAAAAAATATTTTTATATGCCTAGATTTTGAAATTTGACTAAAATATTGATATTTCTTATCAAAGTTTCATTACCGTTGCTGAATTAAATATCGTGAAATTATGAACACAAAATTCAGTATAACAATGAAAAAAATATAAGTTGAATTCGTATTTATTTCATCATTGTCTTTAAATCAATACACTTTTAAGTATTATTTTCTATCTCTTCCATATTCATCGTTGCTGGTTTCTCCATATCTATTAGGACAGTAGAGTCCAAATTTGCCAGCTCATTACGGGACTCTTTTAATTGCTTTACGATTTCTTGCGAGTCTGATGATATTGAAGTGTAGTGCTCTTTATAGGTGCCAAGAAGCTCTTTCCTATATTTATTAAGGGAGAAATCTTAGACGAATTTTATCGAAGAATTTGTCGAGGCTAAGTTACTTTTTTCGTACTTGCGTTCTATTTGTCGATCTATTCCATGAAATACTTCAGTTTCATTTTGCAAAAGAGCATTTTGTGTGGCTTGAAATAGAGTAGCATCCTGCCGTTGGTAATTTCGAAATATTGTCTATAATAAAAATAATCAATGTATTTAATATTTACTAATATATTGGTCAATACCGTATATCTCCGAAAATAAGCTACCCCCCCCCCATTTTTCAGGCCTGCAATATATATAAGCTACCCTTAAGTTTTCAAGTCTAAAATTGTGCAAAAAAAGGTAGCTTATTTTCGGAGACATACGGTATGCAAAATAGATACCTCGCCAACACTTTGTAATAATGTTCTTATTTCTTGATCTAATTGATCATCAGCAAAACTCGTAGTTTCATTTTTCTCTTCTTCAATTAACTTTTCATTAGCATGTTCGTCTTGACTATTCTGAGTTTCGTAGGGGTTCATTAATTTACTTCGAGTAAAATCACCAACATTATTTGCAGCTGAAAATAAAATTTACTTATTTAGATTCAAATAATTAATGTTATTAACTAGTCAATAATAAAATTAAATACCTTTTTCTCTTTCCCTTTGAGTTTTATCCGTGTCACTTTGATCACTATTAGACACTGCACTTAATCGCTCAAGAAAAGAAACTGGATACAATAACACAAATGAATAAATTAATTAAATAAAACATCTCGAGGGAAATTTTATTTACCTTGTTTTCTTATTTGTCGTTGTCTATCATCGTTAGACTTTTTCCAGTTATAATCTAAGAAAATAAAAACCAATAAAAATCGAAGGGACAAACAAATCATTCAGAATAAACATTATAAATAAATATAATTAACATGATTTTGATAAAGTTAAGCCTGAATTGTCTTCATCTTCTTGAATTGTATATATGGAGGAGTTATCGCTTTCGGATTGAATAGGAAAATCAAATGGATTGTTATTAGCGTTTACTATTGGGCTTCCTTCATCGGTAATCTGTATTTAAGAAATCATATACGTGTAATTAGACATGGAATATGCTTTTTTCAGAATATACGTGAATTTTATATACTCACCTTCACTTCTTTTCTTATCGGTTGTTTTTGAGTGGGCTTTACAGGTGCTTTATTATTACGAATATCTTTGCTCAAATTATTTTCTGGGCGATTTCCACGTGAGTCTCTGTTTGAAATTGCAGCTTGATCCCGGGATGATGTTAATGTTGTAGATTTACGAACAAATTGTTGCCTTTCAATATTGTTAATTGGTTGATTATTTATTGTTGGATGAAACTGATTTTGTGCTTCGTTGAAATCAACTTGAGTTGAGCTTCCAAATTTTCTTGATTGCTCTATTTGCATTCTATCATTGATTTTTGAAGTTCGTCGAGTTGTTTGGATGTCAATTGCGTCTTCAGCTTCATCTCCAACATCGAAATTGAGAATATCACGAGTTTGCATAGTTGCACGATTATCTGATTTTCCTATAGTTTTTGTTTTGTTAAACTCGATATCGTAGTTTCGTAAATTGTTATTTTGCAGTTCATTATTCGCAGGATTATTGATAGTTGTATTCCTATTAATTTCTCTCTTATTATTAATATTCACAGTTTGTCCAGAATTTATATCGTCAGTTCTTTGTCGTTTCTTTGAAGCAGAAAGATTCAACGGCTTTGGACGCTTTTTGGCCGGAAAAGGAAAATGTGATTCAGCATCCGACTCGACATTCATAAATGGTAACGAGTCATTACGTGAAGATGAACTGTTAATGAAATTTAAACTTGACTCTTGTAAAGGTCTAGGTGAACTAGATGCACGTGTTGATTGTGAATCACTATCTGGATTACTTCTTTGTGCTGCTTGAGATGTGCCAGCACGAGGCTCAAGTTTATTTTCATCTTTCTTTTGTTTACGAGTTGGACATTGAACCACGGGAGTTTGTGATGCTTCGAGTGAACTACTGAGAGTAGCGAGTGCCAAAGCTGCGTTTTCAATTGAAGCATGCGGGGGATGTAACACATTTACAGAAACTGATACCTTTGGCTGCGTGTGATAATTCTAATGAATCCAAACTTAGAATTAATAGGAATCATAGATTAAAACAGCATCAAAGACTCGAAAATTACTTACCACTTTATGACTAGAGAAAATTTTAGCTAGACTTTCTTTGATATTACCTTCTGAGGAAGCAATTGTCATAGATATTGTAAAATCACCATTATTAGTAGTGTGTTCCGTGAGCATTTCATCATTCTCGCCAATTTTAAGAGATTCTGTTAAATATATTTTAAGAATTTGACCTACAAGAATATTTTAGTTAGTGAAAGTATTCAAAATTAAGTAGGCCGTAAGTTAAATTAATAAGAAAGCATACAATAAGACTCGAACACAGTCTCCCAGCTATTGATTTTTTGATATTTTACGTCAATGATGTCACACCCTTCATCTTCTGGATCCTATTAATTAATTAATTATTCAATTAATTAGCTTTACTTGATTTCATCATGATTTCAATTATTTCTTACCGTATTTGAAGCTTGGACTGACATAGAAATTGTCCATTTATTGAAATCGACGAAAAAACAATCTTGCCTATCTGGCCGATCAAATTCTATTTGATTGTATTGTATTCTTGTAACCTTGATTGTCTTTGGTCTATTTGAGGAAAGTTTTTGTTTTAATGTACAAACTTTATTTTGAAGGTTAGAAAGCTAATGTCTCGAACTTACGTTTTGGACCAGCCATCATTTCCATAATTGAGCGCATTAAGAAAATTACGAGTATCCTTACGAAATATTTGAAATATGAGATAGGAATTTTCCATTCGCGTGACGTATTCAAATTACTCACTTGTACAAAATCATCTGCAGTTATTCCCAGAAAAAGATCGGTCAGTTGAAAATCACCCTTGAATGCTTTATTTGCGAATATTTCGCGGTCCTCTTGCATTCTAGGGGACAAGCGAAATAGAATTTCGAGATGACGAAATTGAAGTTCGTAGTCTGTGATTTATATAATTTAAGAAAAAAATTATATCATATTTTACGTTCAAGATCCAAATTAATTTCATTACCTCCAGCTGATTTCATAGATAAAGCAAGGTTATATCTTCGAAAACAATTAGACAGTAATCAAGGGTTTATATATGTGTTATTGATTCTTAAGGGAGTTAATAAGATTCAAAAAGATACATATCAAGAATTTTTCCATGACTCAGTAGTTTTTTGTTTTCTTTGCAACCAGTCAAGAGAGTATTGATCAAATCGGAAGTCTGAAAAAGGTAAAAATTAGAAATCTGAAAATAATAACGTTGCTACTACAATAAATGAATTCACTTACCATTCTACGAACTTCGACATTTAATGCTGATTTTAACAGCACTTCTGTAAGTGATTTTAGCAATATTTTTCCCACAGTTTCTCGATCTTAAATTTCAGAGAATGAAATCGTATTATTATGAATTATATTATACATAGAAAAATAACTCGAAATATTTACCAATAGTCACGTTTATAATTGTAGACTAGTAAGGGTAAAACAAGAATTATGATTATGATTTTAAAAAGTTGACTAAATATTGCGAAATCGCATGCCTCGATCAATCCCAATGTATCCAGAATTACTTTTTCCCAATTCCTTCCCGGTTGTCTCTCGAATATTTTACTATTAGCAATAATGCCAATTACAACGTTTATGATATCCATCACCTTCTTTGTCGTACTTTTAAGTGGATCATGTTTCTTTAATAAACTTTCCAAAGAAAAGACGTTATGCTGTATTACATCGGGAGTAACGCTATAAATGTATCTCGGTTTTGCCAACTTTGAAATGTAAAAAAGTCATTTGGGGTCAATTGAAAGAACTCGCATAATAGTTTACTAATTAATAGCGACTGGGTGTTGGCTACCTCATCTTTGAGTCGATTGAAAATGTCCTGCAGAACTTTTTGTATCCTTTGATAATTTTAAAAATGAAAGTTTTAAGAAAACACCATCGAAATAGAAGATATTTTATTATCTAATTACGTATTTTCTTTCTTGGGAGGTCTCCCACGACGCCGAGTCTCATTTTGAGCTGGGTTTTGCTCAAGAAACGTCTCAAGTTGAGCAAAAGCCTCTTTAATTGGCTCAGAGTTGTTTTGCATCTTTGTTCTAAATAGCTTGCTAAGTTCTGAAAGCGAAAGTTTATGGAGACGAGAATTTTTATTGAAATAACAAATTCTGAATGATATAGTAAATATTAGTATAATTAATGAAAATATATATCAAGCTCGTTCATTTGGCTATTTCATCAAATCGATTGATTATACAAATTTTAGTCAAAGAACAAACCACTGCAGTTATCTCTATTACGTTTGCTCCAAACATCAAATATATAATACATTTTACCACTTGGAAAAGATTTTAACAAAAAGAAAAGAACGATTCTAGTATATAACTTTCATTCCATTCATTGAACTTATTTTATAAGAAACTTCATTTCTCTATATTTCTTTATTACGTAGTACTAAAAAATTTGATCTCTTTCCAGTTTGTTTTTTCTCGTAATAAATTATAAGTGCCCCTAGAAACTAAATTAATGAAAATACTTTGATGTTAGACGCAAAATTGAAGGAATTCAATCTAAAAAATTAGTCATAAATACGAAATTTTATGCGGGTCATCAAAGATCCGGGTCTTTCCGCTGTAGATGATTAATAATATTAATCTTTATTATTGAAACTTAATTTTACGTCATCAATCTTTCTCATTACAGTTTGCGTCTATCCCAAGTTTCTATTTGCTATTCTTCCTTTGGTTCTGCTTATATTAAGCCTTGCCTCTTCAAATCATCATATGTCTTTTTATTAAATACATTACCTTCAACATCCTCAAACTCTTCCATTGTATCTGCTTTAAAATCATCGGTTTTACTTGTACTTTTAAGCTTTTCCCATACTTTTATCAAAAGAAATAAAAATTATCTTTAGATTTGCTTTTAGGATATTGAATAAACAAATACAGAATAAATATACATACAAGCATAAGCATCTTCGATCAGAGTTATCTCGTGAAAATGCCGAGTATTCGGTATACCTAGACATCGCATTCCATGAGCATGCCGCCATTCCTATAGGGGATTGTATAGAAAATATGTAAATATTTATTTATCAAGCATAATATTGCTTACATCTGTACCTGAAAGTGTCGATCAAATGCTTTTCGTCCCATATAAACGTAATTCCCGCAAATTTCACAAGGATACTCAACGCCGAGCCCGTGTAACTTATATAGCCAGTATGGAATGGGTTTACCATCCCATCCAAGTGGTAATTTGAGAGGATTATAGATTTTATCCTCGTCCTCCGACTCCGTTTCTACATCATCTACTTCTTCGGCTTCTAGCTCCATCTGAATATACGATTTAAATTAATAAGATCACATAGCCAATTCATTAGAAAAGAATCATCAAACGTAAATCTGAAAGAACTTGATAGCCTTTGTATCTGTTAATCCAAATAGCATTAAATCAGGCCCGAATCAAACCAAGTGAACAAAAGAATCAAGTAGATAATTCTTTTAGGATATTTGGTTATTTTCCACAAATATGCTTGAATTGTATAAAGAAAAGACTTACTCGGCGCTCTCGATCAGTCAATGCACGTTTTCTTTCAACATTAGCTTTAGTGTCCTCTCTCTGTGAGCCTAGAACTTGTGCATATTTTTGAATTAATGCTTCCAAAAACGCGATGTCTCGATCTCGTTTATCTTTTTCTTCCGCTGCTTGTTTTTTCATTTTCTCTTCGACTTCTTTATCTACGGCAGCAACGCCTTTTGTTATCATCTCATTAGCAGCTTTTATATGTTTTTTACTTTTGAGATGAGCATCATAGACAGTCTCCTTGGAATAACCCTTTTTGCCTATATGAATGAATAAAAACTATCAATAATTACAATTGATTATGAAATAGAAATATAAAAAGAGACTTCAAAGTGACAATAATAATCACAACAAATAATAATACTTGCAGGCAACACAAAAGAGATCATTGGACAACTCTTCTCTGCCGATTTTTTTTTCCCAACCTGGGACTTTTCCTTGCGTCCAAAGTGTCTTAAATTCGTTTTCTGTTTCCTGCCTGATATCTTCAAGATTTGAAAGAGGTTTCACTCTCCTAAAGAAACTTTCAAGATAATTACGAAGATCTGTTAAATATCTAAATTAATAAAAAGATAAATCAATCAGTTTGTGACAGATATTTCCGGTACATAAAAAATTATCATTTGGAAAATTGACCATACTTTACATATTCCCCGTGTTTGTTTTCTCTAGAATAATCTGAAAAATGATCAAATTCTCCTAAATATGTAAGATAATCTAATTTTTTAATATTTTTTAAATTCACATATTGCTCATGAAGTGAGTGTAAATCTAAAAATCGACCGCTTCCTTCTTCTCCAGAAAACAATTTATCAAGATCTAATTGGATTTATAAAGAAAAATGAGAGTCATTCATCATATATAAAATAAGAAATCAAGAAATATCGTACCATCTTCTCCATTCTCCTTTGCTTGATTTATAAATTCTAATTCTAATGGTTCGACTGTCTCGTTGGGATATCGACGGTGATAATCTTTAATGGCTTTTAAGCGACCATAAAACTCGCTAAATTCCGAAGTTCCAGATAGTGCATCGATTTCATTTTTTCTCGCTCTAAGAGATTTTTGAAAATTAATAATCTTAAAATGTAAATCCTAATTTTGAATTTCCAGCATACCCGTCTGAATCGTCGTACAACTCATATAAAAATTTACTTCGTGAACTTATCCTATCTAAAAAATCGCTAACTCGATGTTCTCGAGTGAGACGCTCTTTATGCTAATATACAATAAAAAAAAGAAATTTAGCGAAATGAACCTATAAAATAAAAGCACTTCAAACGTACCGATTTAGGATCTTTCATGAACTGATCAACAATCGCTTGCTCCAGTCTTTCAATTTCTTCATGTGCTTTACGTTGTTGCTCAAGTATACTTTCCATTTTGTATGATGTATCAAAAAATAGTTGCTTACTAGATTTAGAAAAAAGCAGTATTTTTTTTGTACGACAATATTTTCGCATTTAACCTTTTTTGTCGCTTTTTTTTGTTTTCACCAAAAATTAGACGAGGCAAAACAAGAGATAAATTATATTGAACCATCCAGGAAGTATTCATACTCGAAGGTGGTACGCACAAAGACACGAAGGTACTTCAACAGATCTGAATATTCTAACTTTGACGAGAATAATTACTCTTAAGATCATTTTTGACATATCTTGAGCACGGAGTAAATCATAAGAAAAATAATGTAATTTGAGATCACCTCGGACAAGTCCTCTATTAATTGTTTTTGTTCTCGACGATTTCCCTAGAGTTAAAAGTTTGTGTAATGCAAAACCTTACTTAATTCCTATGTTAGATGTAATAATTTCCACTAAAGGTGTGAGCTTTTACGGTACACAAAAATCCATCCTTTAGTAGTTACATATCGCGACAATTACATTGTATTTATACGAGCAAGACAATTGAATTAACGGTTGTTAATTGGTATCTTGGGTCGTATTCCTTTATCAATGTCAAACATAAGATATATATATTGTGATTTCGAGTGTATGTATTTTCTTTTCATTTAACACCTCCGGACTAATATAAGGAAGTACTCTAATTTCTCGATTAGCTTTTCTATATCTAATTCCAAAATAAGCCATGTGAGCAATAAGATTCGCTCTCTATATTGATAATACAGGTACAATTCTTAGTCTTTATATTCTAGATCTCTAATCTACAATCCTTTAATCTTATACAAAAATTTCTATATTCTCCTTGGAGCATTTGCCTGTGAGAAAATAAATTAGATATAATTAGTCTTTGTAGCATAATAATAATAAAGATATTCAATTAGGAAATATTTACTCGTAGATATTTTCGTGCCTCTGCTAAATTTTCGTTTGATAATTCGATTGCTTCTATACAGAACTCTATACCGTATTCCCCTGGTATTCCCTCTCCATCTTGTCCATTATAAAGGATATTAGCAAGCATTCGTTTTCGTGTAACTATTTGGTCTACACATAAATAAAGTGCGGGTGATGTCGCAGATTGTGATTCTTGAAGAAGTGGAACCAATGTTGAAGCAGCAGTATTAGGATCTAATGGTTTCGATGCACCGATGGCACAATACTATATAGAATGCAATTTATTAATCACGTTTTATAGCGAGTTGTTTAACCACTAAGAAGTTACCTGATTATTACACCAAGCATGTCCACATCCAGTTGTTAACTGATGATGATATTTTCGAGCTAATCTCGTTAGCAACTTTCGATTCATTGGATCATTAGCAGGAGACCAAAAAGGGCCGAAACAAACTGAGCATAATTTTAATGTATTATTTTCCACTGTTCTTGTGCAATTGACATTTCGACATAATGGTGGTAGTTTACGGCCTTGTTTTTCTATCTCATGCATTTTAGCATGCATTGGAACGTTCCTTATGCTAACTGACTGATTGCACTTAACACAATCAATTGTTCGATTTCCACAATATGATTCATGTCCTGTTAGTCCTTCAAGTAAGTCCCTGGGATTTGTCGGGATTTCACCTTTTTTAACCAAGTTATGACAAAACCTGCAGGTGATAAGTTTATTTGGACAATCTGATTGTTTATGAGCGGCTAATGATGGTAGCGAGTCTGTAGAATATCCGCACGAACATTCTCGCCTTTTGTGATATATTTCTTGATGTTTGATTTTTCCTTCAGGTGAATCACCAGGCTTTAAAATAAAGGTAATATTTATACGTTATTAATCAATAGAAATGAACAATCAAAAAATATTAATATAATATTAATTCTACCTGACCACAAAGCCCACAATGCCAATGCGAATTTTCTTCGCCTCGCTTCATAATTTTTCCGCATACTTTGCACTTTATATTATTACGCTCACAATAACTAGAATGTAGAATTATTGTCCTTTCAGGAACCCAACTTCCACAATTTCTACAATGTGCATATCCTACTTTATTTGCATTTTCATCATCATGTTCTTGTAAGGTTACAGGGATATCGGTATTGGTAATGAGCAATTCATAATTTGTCTGCGATTCACCATAACCATGAATTCCGATGTAAAGTTCCTCACTAGTAGCATACGCAGAGTTCGTTGGCTGAATGCAAACAGATTTTTCTGATAAAAATGAAAAATCCGACCAAAGATGATCCTCTATCGTAGGCTTACTTTCTGTAGAAATCACAAGATCTATGGAGAAACATTTTTATTACGAATTAAAAAAAATTACTAAATTTAATCAGATTTATTATGTAAATAAGACACTTACCTGCATCTCCTCCATCTAATATCTTTACATGTATCTTTACACCGAGTGATCGGTCGATTGATTTCAAATTCCAATAGGTATATTCATCTTTCAGCACAGTGCCTTTGATAATTTGACCGATAGAAACTTCACTTTCTTTATATTCTTTTCGCTGATGTCTTTTATTTCCTGTTTCATTAGATAATGAGACCCCGTCACTTTCTAAAAATGGAACTATTTCAACTTCCAAATCTGTATCAATTATTCTTACAGCATTTTCAGGTTGCAAAGAATCCACTATAAATTTATAAATCGAATCGGCTTGTCTTAAACCAAGAACTTCACCAACTGTAAGCGTTACGTAATGTGAACGTAAATAGTCCTCAAATGCTGCCCTATAAATGACAATAAAATCAATAAACATTCCAATCATCAAATATAACTTGTGCCTTTTACCTGTAATCTTTAATTTCATTATATTCTAAGCCTAGAGGTCGAAAACGTGCCCAAGTCCCTTTGGGTAATTCTTTATGCAGTATAACTATTTCGTCACCTTCTGAAAGTGATAACGAATCATACATCCATTGGGGTAAATAAGCTTTCTCATCGGGTGAATTAAACTCTAATACACCTCCATGAGTTATTAATCTTGTCTTTGGATTTAATATTTGAAATGTGAGCGGACTAGGTAATTGTGAATTTGAAGGAGTATCTTCCTCGTTTTCGGAAGTTTGACTAAATTTTTCAAGAAGTTCTTCGAGTACTATTGGTGGAAGAACGAGTTTATCGCCTTCCAATATTGAGGTAACAGCAAGTAACTTTTTCGACCAGCTAGACATTTTTTGAGTTCGCTGAAATTGAATTGTTTGAGCTGCTTGATTTATACTAGAATTCTAATGAAAATCGGCTTACGTAATGCTTAAAAATAGCCGCGTATCCTTTTTTCTTGAAATTTGTTCTAATAGTGAAATCAGCATTTTAAAAACATGGATCTTCGTTCCTGGGTTTCGGACAATACGATCAAGGTTTGTAATTTATATTTATTCTAACAGCTAGATGAAAGTATTCTCTTGCTAATTCTTAATTTGCTTTAGTATTTAAACATGTCAGAGCGTAACATGGTAGACTACATAATTGCACAAGGTGTGCTATTTTAATAAATACCTTCATACTTAGTATATCACCTTGATTCTAAATATTTTGTATTTTATGCAGCTCAGTCTGCCAAATCTAAAGAATCTCTTCGAGAAATTTTAAATGAATTTCCTCCAGAATCTTCAGATTTCATCAATGAACTTTATGAACGCGTACCAAGGAAGTCTTCGCAATCCAATGTACGCTAGGTCTCTGAAATTTACATCACTATTTATTCTTATCGCATTTCTTCATAAGCAAACTCACATGATTTGATTTTTCTTAAAGGTCGCCTCGTTAAAACGTAAAAGACAGGACCAGGAATCTAAAGCCTCTTTAGAAAGTCAGGTTAAATATAAACTGTTATTGGATGAAGATCAGGATTATGAAAAGCATAATGATGAAGGGCAATCTAAAAAGTCAAAGAAATCGAAAAAAGGAAAACATATTCGTAAAAAAGAATCTTCAAATGCCTGGGAAACTGATTCGGAGGATGAGCGGATTGCGCATAAACGAAAGTTTGAAGAATCGACGGAAGAATCAACCGGTGTGTAATTTAACTATTAATTTATACAACCTGATAATTTAGCTTTTGCATTTTTAATATTGTTAATTTATAAAATAGACCCTGAAGATGAATATGAAAAAGCCCAACGAGAGAAAATGCAAGATCTCAAAGAAAGAGATGAATTTGCGAAACGTGTAAGAGAAAAAGATAAAGCGAAAACGAAAAAGGTATATTTTGTTTAATTCAATTCAAATTTTGATTCAATTCTTTTTAACGCATATTTTTTTAAAATTCGAAGCTAGTAGAAGATCGTTCTTCAAAATCTCAGAGCGAATCTACCCTTCGTCGAAATCTTGCAGATGATCCAGAAGCACGCAAACAGTATATACCAGATATTCGTGAGCGCTCTCGCCAAGATTATCTCAAGGCTCGTGCAGAACAGCGAATGTTATTGATGGAGGCAGAGCTTCGTGATGAAGAGACACTTTTCAAGGACATAAAGCTAACAGAAAAAGAAAAGAAAGACTATCAATTAAAAAGAGATACTCTACAGTTAACAAAAGGAAGATTAAGTCTTTCCAAAAAAAGCGAAGAATACACTTTGCCTGAAGGTAATCATCAAATCGATAACTTAATCTTGGTTATTCGTATTTATATGTAAACTCATTTCCCGCCTTTGATCTCATTTGGAAAATTTTTTCAATTAGATTATATAACTGAACAAGGAAAGATTGATAAGAAGAAAAAGGAATCTGTATTATATCAGCGTTACGAAGAAGATCGAGACCAACACAAATTTGTTACAGATCAAGATCAATGGGAGCAAAATCAAATTGTCAAATCCCAATTGAAAACTGGTGCGCAGGATCGGGTGAAGGAAGAACATGAATACGATTATGTCTTTGATGAAACCCAACAGATGGAGTTTCTAAATTGGGATTGGAGTGAAAAACATGATGAAATTACAAAGAAAATTGATGCAGCTGAACAAGAAGGTAAATTATAGTTTTTCTTGTCAATTTATTTCATTTTAATTTAGATGATCGAAAAAATCTCCTAATTCGAATCTTAAAAATTTAGCAAAGTCAATAGAAGAAGCACGAAAATCTCTGCCAATATACCTGTTTCGAGATGATTTGCTTAAAGCAATTGATGAATATCAGACTATCATTATTGTTGGTGAAACCGGTTCTGGAAAGACCACTCAAATTCCACAATATCTTCACGAAGCTGGTTATACTAAAGGAGGAAAGAAAATCGGATGCACTCAACCTAGAAGAGTTGCAGCGATGAGTGTATCTGCTCGCGTAGCCACCGAAATGGGCGTAAAATTAGGGTATCAGGTAGGGATAAGCTATGAATCATAGATATTTTATTGAAGATATATTGATTTTTCTTTGCTTTTTAGGTTGGATATGCAATTCGCTTCGAGGATTGCACCTCTGATAAAACCATCATAAAATATATGACTGATGGTATGCTTTTACGCGAATTTTTGACTGAGCCTCTTTTAGAAGATTACAGCTGTTTGATAATCGATGAGGCCCACGAAAGAACTTTACACACCGACATACTTTTCGGTTTGATTAAGGTATAACCTACATCCATTCTCCAAGCTTTATAAAAAATCCATTATTCACTAAAATATTGTTTGTGTATGATATTATTTTCAGGATATTTGTCGAGTTCGACCCGAATTGAAATTATTAATATCAAGTGCGACGATGGACGCTCAAAAATTCTCCAAATATTTTGACGATGCACCCATATATAATAGTTAGTATGAATAATCGATAAGTCTCCAATAACTTGTTATTAAACCCTTTACCTGTCGTTTTTATTTAGTCCCAGGCCGGCCTTTTCATGTCGAAACATTATATACAAAAGCCCCTGAGGCAAATTATATAACTGCTGTAATATCTACAGTGATGCAGCTTCATATAGCTATGCAAGGTGGCGATATTTTAGTCTTTCTTACGGTAAGAACCCTGTTATAAAGTATTGGTATATAAAGCTTATATAAATATAGTAGGTGAATCTAATATTAAAAAAATTAATTAGGGACAAGACGAGATTGAAAGTGTGCAGGAAACTCTATCGCAGACTTGCAGAGTTCTCGGTAGCAAGATAAAAGAACTTATAATTTGCCCGATTTATGCAAATTTGCCACCTGATATGCAATCCAAAATTTTCGAACCCACTCCTGAAGGCGCTCGCAAGGTATGTATTTTTATAGCATTTGCCAGACCTTTAAATATTCATGGAAATTTTTTATTTTTTGCTTCATAGGTTATTTTAGCAACTAATATAGCCGAAACTTCAATTACAATTAATGGTGTTAAATACGTAATTGATCCTGGTTTTGTTAAACAAAATGTATATAGCCCTAGGACTCGCATGGAATCTTTGGTAGTTGTTCCGGTAAGTTGCACATGCGAACAATATTTTTTAGAATGGGTCGCTTAGATTCTTTTATCTTTCAAATATAAACTTTTTTTTTAATAGTGCTCAAGAGCGTCAGCGAATCAAAGGATGGGTAGAGCTGGTCGTGTAGGAAATGGTTTCTGCTTCCGCTTATATACACAATATGCTTATGCGAATGAAATGGAAGAAAACAGTGTTCCCGAAATTCAAAGAACAAATTTAGGAAATGTGGTTTTATTATTAAAAGTTAGTGGATCTATAAATTAAATTGTTAGTATAATTTTGCAAATTTGTAACTTCATTTTTATTTTCAGAGTATTGGAATTCACAATGTCATGCAATTTGAATTTATGGATGCACCGAATGACCAGGCTCTGATTCAGGCTCTGAATGACTTGTACGGATTAGGCGCACTTAATGATAGTGGTGAATTGACAAAATTAGGCCGGAGAATGGCCGAGTTTCCTTTGGATCCAATGTTATCTAAAGCGATCATTTGGTCCGAGAAATACCATTGTTCAGAAGAAGTAAGTTTTATCTTAGTCTATTATGTATTATGTATCAATTATAAAACTCTAATAGAACTAATATTTTTCCTTTATTAGGTATTATCTATTATAAGTATGTTGACTGTGCAAGGCTCGGTATTTTATCGTCCTAAAGACAAAAAGTTTCACGCCGATAAAGCTCGACAAAATTTTATTAAACCTGGCGGTGATCATTTCACTCTTCTTAATGTTTGGGAACAAGTAAGCATTTATCTCTATGTTTGTTACTTATTTTATTTATCTATATTTTCCGAATTGTTTTTAAATGCAGTTTTTTTTTTTTGATTTATTAGTGGTTAGAAACCAGCTATTCTATGAATTGGTGTTATGAAAACTTTATTGTTTATAGGTCAATGGTACGTGCGCGTGATGTACGCGACCAGCTTGTCGGGTTATGCGAGCGTACTGAAGTAGAGTTAGAGTCAAATTCGAATCCAGCTGATATAATTCCGATTCAAAAGGTTGGTGTATTAAAAAGTAGTAAATTTTTTTTTCTTAAATTACCCTGTTTTCAACAATTTGATTTTATAAAAATAGGCTATTGTTGCTGGTTTCTTTATGAATGCCGCAAGGATATCTCGTTTTGGTGATTCATATCAAAAAGTAAAATTTGGAGATCCAAGCCGCACGGTACATATTCATCCCAGCAGTGGTTTGTTTAAGGCTGATCCGAAATGGGTAATATATTTTGAATTGGTCTTGACCAGCCAAGAATATATGCGCCAAGTTATGGAAATACAGCCTGAATGGTTGTTAGAAGGTATAATTTTTATTAATTTGTCGATAAGAAATTCTAAATATATATTTATTTATTTTTTTTATTTTTTGTAGCTGCCCCTTATTATTATGAAAAGGAAGAAATTGATAAATTGGATGGAAAAAAGAAGATGCCAAAAACTTTGCAGCCGCAATGAATACTCCGCTTACTATTACATAGTACAATAATAATAAGATAAAGCTTGAAAAGTTTGTACTGATAGTTATATTTTATTGGTTTGATTTGATTTGATTATTTAAATCCATTTTGTTATTCAATTCGTGCTTTTTTTGATTTATATTTAGAGTTTTTGTGCTCGACTGAGTCACACTTCTCTCTTTGATCAAATTTAATATATTTACGTGATTGCATTTTCTTTCCTCCACCAAGTGTTATACTAGTTGATTTATTAGAATCCAAAGAAATATACTCTTCTAATTTCATAGTATTATTATCTATGATTAATTGATTTTGATTTTCTAAAACGGATAACTGTTTAAGACTTAGTTTTCCGATATAGTTAAGAAAATTTTCAATTATTAGCGATTTTATTCTTTGATTACACCATTGCTCGTAAAAATGCTTGAATAATCTTGATGGCATTTTGAATTCCAAGTCATCATCTCGAGAATATTTCCATTCGATGTTTTGCTTAAATTGGCAGTCGTACAAGACTAAAGGTACATCATTTGCCATCTCATACACGGGCTTTGCCGGATATTTTCCCACATCAAGTAATTCATCAATAATTGACGGCTTTTCCAATTGTTGTCCCACCAAAAAAAGGACTGCCATCATGCAGCGAACTTGATGCCATAGAAACGCTGTCCCGCGTATACTAACTTCATAAAAGTCTCGCATTTCTGATTGTTGATTCTTTGGTAAAGAATTTTGTTCTTGTTGAATAACTGGCTGAATAGTGATATCGAGTATAGTTCTTTCGAAATTCGTGATTTGTTTGGCTGGATCAATTTTACAGAAATTACGGAAATCATGTTGTCCAAGAAATTTATTGGCTGCCTCTCTCATAAGATCAATATTCAAATTCTCTTTAGCAAAATAATATTTATATTCACGCGATTTACAATCAAATCTTGCATTAAAAGTTGAAGGAACAGGAGCCCAAGCTACTACACGAATATCGTCGGGAAGTGCGCGATTCAATGTTTCTATGTAAGGTAATTCCTCTATTACTTCTTTTCTTTTCCTTTTGGACCGATTCCCTTTTTGTGAACCCTCTTGGTTCTCTAAGGGTTTAATATCTTTATCGTCTTCAGTCAATAATGAAATATTTGAACGCACATCTAATGCAACAACTTGTCCCATTCCACTTACTCCTTTATCAGTTCTACCACAACGTGAGAAATTACATTCTTTTGGACTAGATATTAGTCTAGTTGCCTTGAGAACCTCAAACAGTTGTCCCTCGACAGTTTGTAAACTCAAGTCGTCGTTTTGCGCAGCGAAACCAAGATAATTAAAGCCTAAATATGTTACTTTCAAAGCGATGTGACGCTGAGAATATTTAGTAATATCAAAAGGTCGAACTTCTTTCTTCCTATCTTTTTTACGTTTCGTTTCTGTGACCGACGTGATATTTTTGTCGGCAGTTGACTGCAATTCTGTTGAATTTTTGCTGATAAAGTTTATTTCTTTTTGCTGATTTTCATAGCTTAATATCTTTGCAATCAATTCCTCTTTGTTCCAGTTTTTATATTTCTCAGCTCCTTCTAAGGACATTTTGCATTGTCGTATAGTAAAGTTTGACAGACTCGAACGAAAGAAAAATTCACTCAGAGATGATCTAAGTTTCGTCATGTGAATCAAGCAAAATACAATTCACTATTTTTAATTGTTTGACCAATCGGAATTATGTTCAACGGAATTTTTTCTATTATATATAGAGTTTTAAAACGATTTAGTTTTGGCCCAATTTGGTAATTTTTGATTAAGATTAGATTGAAATTTTAATTCGCCCAGTTAATCCGACTTGCATTTTTTCAAGCTTGAATTTAATAACAAGCCAATTATCTAATAATGGATATCATGGATAACCAAAGACAAGAATTAATCTATTTTAGAGCGTTCAGCCTCAAAGAAGTTTTTATGATTAATCCAATCCGGTAGCTTGTGAACGCAATCTGCTCCATTCGAAAGCATTATGCAGTTTTACTTTACTAATTGCAAAGAGACGCGAAAAAAATCGCGGCAAAATCTTTCAGCTTACGAATTGCGTTTTATTTAAATTTTTGGAAACTTAACTTGCGATGTATTTACATACCAGAGTGTCTCTTCTTGTTTTAAATATGAGAAACGAGTGCCAAAATTTTCTAAGAAGTTTGGCAAAAAGTCTTTAAGCCGCGTAATTATATACGCGAAATAAAAATTGAAAATCGAATTAAAAAAAGCGAATTTTTTAACGTAATACGAATAAAGCGAAATGTCTTTTAAGAAAATAAATGTTCATTCGCACACGAAGAGTACGATTAAATATAACGAGGCAGAAATCACTAAATTAAACGTATATATACAAAAAATCATATGTGTTTTTAATAACAAAGTTCAGATTTTTTTCAATGGCAGTTTTTCTTTTCGTTTTGATTCATTATTTTTGAGATAGTTGATTATTCGATGATGTTTCTTGAGGTTGGTTATCTTCAATCACTTCATCATCACATTTTTCCTCATCATCACATTTGTCTTCATCCTTATTCGATTGTTTCTCTGGACGTTCAATATCCAGCAGCCTGGCATCTTTTTCAACAATCAAGCTCCTTAACCACTTAATTTCTAATTCTAATTCCTTAACTTTGCCTTCGAGCGCTTCAGCCTTGGAAGTCATATCTTTTGCAGTTTTTTCAAGAGTTTGTTCACGCATCTTCTTTTTTACACGAAATCTAGCGGACGCTGCTGTATTTCGTCTTCTTTTATCTTCTTCAGCTGCAAGTTTTACACGAAAGTCAGGATCCATGGCAGCATCAAATTCATTTCCATATAATGCATAAGAATGTGAAAAATCTAATGAATCAACAGAAGATTGACGAGATGATGAGCTTCCAGGAGATCCAGGATATGTGTGATGATGCGAATGTGGATAAGAAGGGGAACTTGGATGTGGTGAGTGAAGATTTTGTTGATATGAAGGTGAATGTGGATGTGGATGTGGATATGAAGATGAGAGTGACGGATGGTGAGAATGTGGTGGTGGTGGTGGTGGTTGAGGGATTGTGATCGGAGCTATTTTTGGCCTTTTTGACATTGGCTCTAAAGAATCTACTCCACTTCCACCACTTAGATGAATATTATTAGAAATCATTACACCTGGTATTGATCCTTGATGATATATTGTGAAATTTGGATCAGTAGGTGAATTATTAGATTGACTACTGTTCGTGGATGATGCAAGAGTGACTATACTTGTTGGTTGTAAAGGTGATGTAGCCACCGGTGTAGGAGTGGCATATGCAATAAACGGTGTGATTGTAGAAGCTGTAATTGGCGGTTGTTGATGTGTCGTGGGTGGTTGCTGAGAATGTTGATTCATAGCTGCCAACTGGGGATTTAGAATTTCAAATGTATAGTTAGTCATTTGTTGTTGTTTAAATTTATCATTATTCGTCGATTGATTAAAAGAAATTCCCGGATTGCCCCAAAGGTCATACTCGGCAGCCAAGTCGCCTTGCGACAACTCAGGTGAAGTGATGTTAACTGAGGACATGGTATCTAAATGTGGGATGTAAGGGGAATATTGGTTATACGTAATGTTGTTGTTTGCCATTTCGTTATAACGTTCGTCAGTTAGAGGTTTTCAACACTTCTTCACCCACGAAATCTCTGGCACTCGGACGTAAGTGTCAATAGAGAATCGAGCGTTGGATTTAGTAGATTTAGATTGATTCTAATCTAAATCAATGCGTATGATATGAGGGATCAGCGCTTAATTTTTATCGATTTTATATGGTTCCCGTGATTCTGTTTCAATTTTCGCGTGACTTTTTTCGTATGTACTAATAAGAAAAATGTTCAAAACTTTCTTATATCATGAGTTTATTAGTTCTTATATTGAGAGTTTCTTATATCAAGAGTCACTTGTAATACATATAAAAAATATATAATTTAATATGACTAATATAATACAAATACATGATATATGTAACTTATAAATAATTCTCAACAAAGTTCAAACACATAATCTAATATAATTTATATATCACAAATATATGAATCATATCAAAATTAATTTATTACTTTAGTCCAATTTTATAATAATCATAAACTATAATTCTAAGAAATATTGTAATCAAAAATAAAAGCTATATATTAATATAAAATAATTATTATTAATAATAAATATTCAAAAAGTTACATAATATTTATAATAAAATTTTTTATTATTAATTTGTGATCATATGTCAAAAGAAATATTGTTATTGATATTAGATATTTCTGATCAATTTTCATATTTGATAGGAATGTTTTACTCTTTATTATTTTCACAAGTTTTTTTTTATTTGTTATCAATAATAAAGATTGATTCTGAAATTAATGATGTAGTTTAGAAATATAACTAAAATTAGTTTAGATTATAGTTATATCTCTTCTAGGTAATTTAAAAACTTATTTTTAGTCAGTGAAGAAAAGTTATCAATATCCTCTTCATCAAAATTTATAAGATCAATAATATATTTTTCTTTAGGATTGCAAGTGAGTTTGAAATAATTTTTATACCAATAACAGAAACATATATTAAGAGTTAATGATAATTTTGATATTTTTTTATTTCATTTTTAAATTCGATAATTCTTATAACTTTTATATAATTAATACCAATATTATTTTTCACAATGTAATAAAGTTCTCTAATCTTTTGATTCACAAATATATGATATTTGGCTAAGTTGTTCTCAAGTAATTCTTTCTGAATAATAGAATTTAAGATGATAATATTCTTTAATTAAAATTAATTTTGATATTTTTATGGTTCATATTTCAAAGATAATATAAGATTTAACCAATTTTAAAGCTTAGTTTATTGATTTTTTGATCAAATTAGCTAATTTTAAATTATAGCTATTAATTTTAATTTATTATTTTTAAAATATAATTTTAAATAATCTCTATTATAGAGATTTTTCAAAAGTTTTTCATTTATTTTTCTTAGTTAATAAATTTCTTAGTCAAGTTTTTTATGAATATAAAATGAACCTTTCCATTTTTGCAAAAATTTTTTATGGTACTAGTGCTATATTTTTATTTTCTTTATTAAAATTTTATCTTTAATAAAGAAAGTTTGTGTATTTTTATTTTGTTAATATGATTCTTTTTGCTTTTGTTGAAATTTTAATGAGCTAATATTTTATTAATTTATTATTATACAAGCTTGTTTAATAATTTTATTTATTATTACTTTTTTATTTTCTTTTAATGATTATAGTTTAAGAATTATTAGAGTTATTATTTGTTTTCTATAAGTTAAGTAAAATAGAATAAATTTGATTATACTTTATTAAATTATTTTATAAGCAAATAATATTAAAGATAAATAAAAATTCTATTTATTTTTGTGTAATTGTACTAGGTTTGCTAATAATTTATACAATATTCTATTTAATTATTCAACTAATTTATTTTCTCTATCAGAAATCAATTCTCTTGAAAATTTATATCTATAAATAATATCTTCATATAAGAATAATAATATTATTATTGATATTATATTAAAAATAGCTCTTGTTTTTGTTCAGTTTGTTTTATAATTGATAGTGACTATTATATATATAATAAAATTAATTATACCTTTTTCTTACAGTAATTAATCAGATGAATTACTAATTATTAATTAGTAATTAATTAAGTAACTGTATTAATAAGATATTATATTAATACCAAAATTATCAAATATAAAAATATAAAACATATATAATAACTACTATATATTTATTTTTATTGAAAATGAGTGATAATAATTTTACTAAGTTTATTCCAATTTTTTTAAATGATAATCTTGTTTTAATTAGATATAATAAATTATTTTTTTCAGTCTTTTTTCTTGATATATATCATATACTTTAATATAGTTTTAATATTTTGATATAAATTTAACCAATAATAGTTTTGAAATATTTTATGACATGTTATTTTTATTTCAAAATATTCAATATAAATTGCTAAATGTTCATTAAATAATACTTCTTTTATTTTAGTTGTTTTAATTATTTTTAATAATTGTTCTGAATTTTTATTATTTTGTTTTATTAATATTATCACTATATGATATTTTAGTACCTGATATAAAATATATCACATTATTTTAAATATATTTCTATTGAATAGTTAGTAAATATATGATCTATAAATTATGATATTTTTTTAGTTTATACTATTTATTTTATATTTTATACTGTTATCATGTGATAAATTTGACACCTAATATAAGATATATCATGTTATTTATAGTATATTTCTATTAGATAGTTAGTAAATATATGATCTACAAATTTTGATCCTTTTTAGTTCATATTAATTCTTTAGATTTTATACTATTTCATTCTAATTTCATTATATTTCATATTTTTTTATTTTATATCTTTTATATTTTATACTATTATATTTTATATCATTTATATTTCATATTATTCATTTTTGATTTATACTATTTGTTTTTAGTTTATATTATTTTTATATTATTATTATTATTAATATAAAAAATACATGTTATTGATTTTTAAGAACCAAATTAGCTTAATAATAAATTAATTACACTCAAGCAAAAAATGTAAAACATCACAAAATAATTTATAAAATGAATTATATTTCATTTTAAATAGAATAAATTAGTTCTAGATTAAGAAGATCAAGTAATGAATAATTAATATAAAAATAATATATATCTTAGCTAGAAGAAGTCTAAGTCTAAGATAGATAACTTTTGATTAACTTAGTGTTAATAAAGTTTCTTTGCTTTTAGTCTTTAATAAATATAATAACTGACTTACTGTGTATTCGTCAAAAGAATTGATTACTTTATATTTTCTTTTCTTAATTAATAATAAAGATTCTTAGTAAATCTAAATTACTTCTTGATGAAATAATACTTGTATATTAAAAAATTTTGTGTTCTATCTTTCTTACAAATCCTCTACAAATACTTTGAATTCTTGGTGAATTCATTTAGTTCTTGATGAACTTATTTTATTCTTATAAAATATACTTTATTCTTAAAGATTCTTTGTGAACTTGTTAGATTCTTTGTGGATCTTTTAGCACTTTAGCTAATATTAGAAGATTATTTCACATTTTGCTTATTTCTTCACATTTTTTCACATAATACAATTATTGCTTATTGTTCTAGTAAAGATTTTTATTTATAAAGACTACTAATAGTAATAGATTTTTGATATTCTCTCTATGAAAGAAAAAGCATTAATTTTCTAAAAAGCAAAAATAATTAAAACAAATACAAAAACAAGAAATTATTATTATTTAGCAAAATTAAATAAAACTTTTCAATATAAATATATTTATAATATCAATAATGACAGCAAAAAGATATTACAAAGTTATTAACAAATTTCAAAACCATTTAATTCATATAAAGAAAATATATATCAATTTGATAAAAGAATTATCACTATCAGAAAATAATTCAAAGAGGATTCAAAAAGACCAACAGTAATAAAAGTATGAAGACAATATCATTTATTTAGAATTATACTAATAACTAAAGAATTAAGCAATGATAACAGAGCTCACTTATTTAATTCAGTAGAAATACTTTTCACTTAACAATTACTTGGACAAAATTATACACTAACAATAACACAATTAGCACAACTAATTTCTAATAATAGTAATAGAACTCCACTAAAAATAATAAATTATCTTTGAAATCTTAATGGAGATATTATTAACTTTAATTAATAAAGAAATCAATATTTACAACAACAAACAGTCACAAATAGAAGAGCAGAAAGAGTGCAAAGAAGACAACAAATTCAATAATAAATCCAATAACTATTACAACAACAATCTACATCATCACTATTAGATAATCAAAAAGTCATCGACCAACAAGAAGATATAACAGAACAAAGAATCACTGATTTAGTAGCAGCTATTACACTCTTAGTAATAGCTATTACACCTTTAGTAACAGCTATAAATGCTAATTGAGCAATATCATCAGAAAGAAAGAATGTTCCACTTTCAATATTTTATGATAATGAAATTGATAATTCAGTTATCTAGTTTGAAGAATTTGATAAAAGTACCAATGCTAATAATATTCAACCAGCAAGAAAAATACAAGCTGTATCTGCTTATCTAAAAGATATAATTGAACACTGATATAAACAATATAAAGTCACTCATAATGATTGATCTAGAAATTGAAATGAAAATAATAATGATTCTTTTAAGTGATAATTCATAAATCAATTTCATACATATATTTAAGTAATAATTAGCAATAAGAGTTCAAAGTTCAACTGAAAATGTCATCCAATACTCAAATGATATTAAAGAAAATTGATCCAGAAAATACATATCCAAAAGCTTATAGAGTAAGAGAATTTATCAAAGATCTTAATCTATTAGTAGTATTCTTCATTAATCAAGAAAATTCAAATACTTTGGATGAAACAATCAATTTAGCTCTACAAATTGAAGTTGAATATAATCAAACATTGTTACCGTTTTGATGAAGCTTTCAAAATACTCAAAGGTATTTATAAAATTTAAGGAATATTCAAAGAGAAACTTCTATATCTTAATGACAAT